ACGTAAGTCAGCTGCTCCACGTGGAACCGCCTCAGCCTGTCTCGACTGAATCAGCTTTTTGACATACTTTTGGCTTGGCCTAAACATGGTGCATTCTTTACTCAGATTTACTAATGCTTTCACACTGTGTTCTCATTTGAAAGGCGTGAGAGATGAAAAAGAGCTTTCTAGAGTGCTTGATCACAAATTAATTTGGATCTGCGCTATTCAATGTCGGTTTTCCCTAACTGTACTTCTCATTTCCCTATTGCTATGCAGGATATGATCTTGATAAGTGGAGCTACCTTCCTCTCTATAGATTTGCCTAAGCTCCAACGTCAAACTTGGTTACCTACCTGGTCTACTTTCGGTGCGCTATCTTCGAGGCTAAAAATAATGCTTACAAGGTACTACACCATTGCTGCCCTGTTCGCTTCCTTGATGAACTTATAATTCCAAATGCATTGCATTTGTACATTGACACCCTCAGTATCAGTTTCTCTATTGAATTTCTCATTATCTTTGAAGATCCCTGACATGCCGTATTGCATAGGTTTTACAGATTTCTATTATTATCTGTTGTTGTCGATTTCAGTAATTTAGTATGTGCTACTTAGCAATCTCAAGTTCTCAGCAGTTTGAGAGGAACTATCTTTTCCTGACTGGAATTATGGTAGCTTTCCCAAGTTTAGATGGCAACCAAGAAAGTTCTCCTTATATTCTAAGCCAACGTATCCCTCAGTAATATGCTTCTGACCCTACAGTTTGTCTTTAGTGCATCTACCATCTCTTTCATTCCAAGCGTTCAGTCTGATGAGCATTTCTTCTCTACTGATTTAGGCAGCTGTTTCCCCAGCAGCAGTAGCATAGGTGTGTCTGCTGAATGTTGCCGATTCTATCACCATGATCTTGGCATTGGGAAGCGAGCTGCCAAATAGTTGTTGTCGTTCAAAGAAGAAAGGTTGGGATAATACTTCTACTTTGAGCTGCATTGAATAAATTATTTCTGCACTCCACAGTCTAGGAGTATATCTCTTAGGGATGGAGACATGGACAATGTGTCAGATACTGCTATCAGCACTTGGCCTTCTTACAAAATAACATTTCTTTCTCGGCCCGTCGTAGCTTCATAGGACCCCCTCTGGGAAATAGCTGGGATGACCAGCGGTGTTGGCGAGCCCTCGGTGTTGGCGATGTCCACTTGCCACCTTGGTTAATTTCAATCTGTTATATAATTCATGGTTGGTTGCGGCATGTGTTGTTTTCGTAGGTTTCCTTTGTCTACTATTATTTATGCATTTTACCTTTGCTTGTCCCACATTACTTTTCATGCTTTGTGCTAAGTGTATTGATTTATGAGCAATTTGTGAGAAAAATACATTGTTATAGTACTTGGGCGGCCTGTTGGAAAATATTGCATGTAGAAACAATTTGGACTCATCTTGCATTGGTTGGTTGTTGGAAGGAATTTTTACGAAAGGAGGTTGCCTACATAGTTATTCATCATTATTCAGTTTCATGCAAGTTATCCACCAAGATAATTATAGTATGACAGCACCCTATGTAAGTAAATTGTATCCAATATGAAACTGAGCTATGTTGGAAGGAGTCTCTTCCACCAGGCACTCCTAAAATTAATTGTACTTCGTTTTTGTCATTCATCTTAGTATCATCGTGATCATATAGATTACATATATTCATGTAGTTACCTGTCCCTTAGTATTTACTGCAAATTGGTCCTTGCTTATTGCGAGACTGCTTTTAGTTGTTAGAAACCATGGTTATGGCAGGTGGTTAAACACCAGCACCTGCATGTAGCAGTCCTATGCAAATAGTGGGGAAAGGAAGGTATTAGCAGCTCTATCATGCTCAGCCAATAATATGTTGCCAAAAAATAGTATTCTTTTTTATCCTGAGGGGCCTTGTTTTCATTATATGCTAAATAAAATTCATGTGATTTTAGGTAGTTGCCTGTAATTTTAGATTACAGCTGTCTGGTCTTTTAATACGAGCAAAATGGATGTCATCACAGTTACATATGGGACATGGATGAGACAGTTATTTTGCTAAAGTCACTTCAGGGGGTTTTCATGGCCTCAACGATTGTGAGAAAATTAATGAAATAGGGCAGCGATGGGAAAACCTTTGTTAACCTCTGCGATTACCACTTCTTTTAGGACGTCAGTCAGTACTTCCATACATGCTACCTGTGTACTACATGAACAAATGGTATACCATTTTTCCTTCATTGTTCTGCTTAAGACATTTATCTGCTCGTTTTTTTGTATATGTTGTTTCACTTTTTTAAGCTCGTCTCTTAATTTTATTCAACCGATGTTGCTATTTTTCCCATTCTAGGATATTATTTTATATTGCTCATAGCAGTCCTGTCCAGTTACCCAGCTCAATGCACTTCCACACCTGTTGAAGCACTTATGATGGCCAAGAGAAGCTTCAGTTCAGTGAGAACTTCCTGTAACAGGATGCTTGGACTATGGTGGTTTTTTTGGACAATAATCCTATCTCTATATAAATGAAATAGATGAAATGATGAGCTCACCTATGTTACTTATACCAAAATTTAGTCAGATTTGAGTGAACTGTGATATTAATCCAATGACTGCCTGATGATCCAAGCAAGTTTGGTGATTCCAATCTCCAGTTCAGGTGTGTACCTAGGCAGCTTGATGTGTACCTAGGCAGCTTGGTACCTAGATGAGGCAGTACATTTTAGATAGAGTGCTATAGTTACTAGATGTACACTGTAGTTTTATTCATAGTTTCCTCTCAGTTTTCTACTTTAGCTTTTCACCTTGCAACATGTAGCAGGCGCTCAAATGAGCCTTTATTTATGCTACCCGTACCAAAATTGACTTTGAGCAAGCTTGGTTTGATGATCTCAGGGGCCATCTGTGACTGACATTGTGGATAGCCTGAAGGCCTCTTCCAGCCCTTTGAAGACTGTAAACTAAAGGTTATTGTAGTCGTGCACAAGATGTAGAATTTGTTCTAAGTCGAAAAAGAATGTAGCCATGCTCTGAGCAGCTTATGTATGTTCTGTTTTCTCTGATGTAACACGTGTTTATGTCATTCTATTATATATCATTGTAATGTGCCACCACTAAATATTATGTCTTCGAGTCACATCTATTCTTTGTCATATAGATATCGAGATTATTCCATTAATCAAATAGTCAAAAAAAAAATACCAGGTACAAAACCACGTTATTTAGCTACTTGACAACAGAGTCCACACGCTTTCACGCTTTCCAGAACGGGCGCGCCCCTTGTACTAATGGTCATGGACCAATGAACCTAAGACTGGTACTAGCAATAACATATAAGATATGTTGGTACATATGTTTATTCTCGCATGTCTACCATTACTTCACCACGGGCGCGCGAATGCGCGTGCAACGATACTAGTGTATGCACAAGGAATTAAGCAGGGTCAAGCATGTGATGCTGAATTTCAATTTTCATTTAATACACAGTACTAGCATGAAATCTTGCAGATTAGATAAGTGTGTTTTGAAAATGATCATAGACTAACGGTAGATATATGATATAATATATTGTACCCACATCACACACTATCCTTATATGGCACATATTGGACCATAAAACATCGGTGTGAGTCCTATGACACATCATTACTTTGTCGAAGTGCTCGTCTTGCTCAACACAATGTTCTAAAAGATTTTAGTGTTCTTGGGAAAGATGGGAAGCTCAATGAGAAAGCAATTCAAGACTACACAGACAATCTACATGAATTTTTACCGCTAGACCTTCTCAAACCTTTGATGTGAAAGGCTGTGCTTTAATTTCTGGGACTTAATGGATATTTCATTGTCTCTTGGTTAGACATTCTCTTTGCAGTGTTGGTGCTCGTGTTATTGCAGCTTTGTTGGTGTTTGCTGCTGTTGCAAAGTGTGTCATTGTTGACATAGTTGTTTTAGTCCTCATAGTACTACCGTTTCTTTACATCTGTAACCCATTTGGGGGTCATTGTTTGCCTAGTCTGGGCCTTCTTCTTTATTAATATAAATGGCACCTCTCGTTCATTGGGAAAAAAACCTACACAGGATCACTTTTATTCACTCGTAGGCATCTGTTTTCATTTTGCTGACATACCTACAAGGCAACGAAGCCACACTTTGCTGGACCATGGAAGCTTGGTACAATTAACGACTCGTTCGGGCGCATTGTAGAAAGTGATGAACTTTCTACTTTAAATTAGTCCGACTATATACAAGCAAAGAAAGAAAGGCCTTTACTGTTTTTCAAGAACTCAGAATAAACTAGCTCTATTTTCTGGATCAACAACGGCTACCTCAACCCACAATCCCACATAAGAACGTATTCTGTTCATCCAACAAAGATTCTACAATGGTTATTATTATTGAAATATATCATAATTACTGCTAATAAGGCCTAGATAAATCTCAAAATCAAAAGTTATCGTCATGCAGAGGGTGCTACTAAAGGAAAGAACAAATTAAAGAGAGAGACAAAGACAAAGCTAATAAAATAAAAGTGGAATGTTTCGGTGGTAAAGAAAAGGCAAAAGTCAAAGATGACGCATTTCTGAGCAAGCCAACTGGCATATGCTAGGTGACTGACTCGCAAGCAAAGCAAAGAAGCTGGTTCAGGCAAAGTGCAGCAGCTAGCTGCACGTAAATGCCTTTGCCTCAGGGGTAATCCAAGTTAGTGGTTGCCTTGCCTTGTTGGATGATGGCGGCGATGGCACACGCTAGCTTGATCCTATTCTCATTGCTCCAAATCACCAATCCATTGCCTCTTGTTGCTTGCTCTAGCCATTCACCTGCAGACACCATGGCCATGCCCATGCATCAGATCACCACCAGCTTCGTCTAACTTATTATGGAGACGATGAGCCGCGCATGCATGCTTTCAGTGTTTGTTTCCAACAACGTAACTGCTGCCATCGATCGATTTGCACACAATAAGCAATAGCCTATAGCTAAAGAGGGAGAAGAGCCAAAGGAGGAGGAGGAGGAATGGCTGGGGCGGCGCAGGGGGCAGTGGACTCGCTCCTGGGCCGGTTGACGTCCATGCTCCTGGATGAGGCGCAGCTGCTTGGCGGCCTCCGTGGCGACGTGGAGTTCATCAGGGACGAGATGGAGACCATGAACGCCCTGCTCCGTCACCTCACCGAGGCGCAGCACCGCAACCACCTGGTGCGGGCATGGATGAAGCAGTTGGTCGGCCTCGCCCGAGACTCTGAGGGCAACGTGGAGCTCTACCTCCACCGTGTGGGAGGCCCAGCCGCCGATTGACACGCGGGAAACTGCTTCCTGCGGTACCTGTGTCAGTTCCTCCGGCTGCTGCGAAGCCTTCCGGCTAGGCACCGGATTGCTACGCGGATCCGGGAGCTCAAGGTCCGGGCACGGGACGTGGGCGACCGGCGGATGAGGTACGGTGTCATTGTGCCAGATTCGGTCCCGGGCGAAGACAATATCTATGACGGCAATGATGAGGAGTCTCCAAGGATGGCTGCAGACCCAGAGAAATATCTTCGGAGAAGCGCTCTTCTACTTGATGCTGCTGAACCTCCACCAGACCCTGAGGATGAGGAGGTGGTAAGAAGAGGCGTCCACACTCTGATCAAGTACTTGTCCATGGAACCTGCGAGAGAAGATGCTATGCCGGCGCCGCTACAAGTGAGGGTCTTCAGTATTATAGGGACAGACTTGGCGGATAGAGTTGCATATGAAGTTTACCAGCATTCGTCTGTGGCCACAATATTCAGTTGCAAGGCCTGGTCCGGCGCACCAAAAAATATAGAAACGGCTCTTGCCGAGATACTGGAACAAGTAGGGGGTGTTCAACTTCAACCTGGCCAAGAAGAAGACGAGGTAACAAACCAAGCAGCAGCGACGACGGTGGATAGGGAGAAGCAACTCATCTGTAAAATTCAGGGGCATCTTAAACGTAAGCGCTTCTTGATCGTAGTTACTACTCACAGGCTTCAGGAGTGGGAATGGAAGCGCATACGAGTTGCTCTGTTAGAAGCTGCTGATGGGAGCCTTCCTGGCAGCGCCATAATAATGACCACAGCAGACTATTTCCTGGTCATGTCGTCTTCTCCCTACAAAATCTTCCATGCCCGACCCCCCCGATGCAGGAGGGTTGGTTCTGAGTTTTACATAGCAAAATCTATGGACCTAAGGGATAAATGCCCAGCAAAAATTAGAGACATCTTTCATCTATGTCACACCGACACCTTTGCAATGAAGACGTTCCTGCATCTGCTGTACGTTAATCGATACAGGAGAGAAGACGAGCTGCAGAATTATAAAAACGCCCTTTCCGAGTGCATACGGCTCAATAGAAGCATTTCCAAGCAAGTGCTGGCGTGGTGTTACAGTGAGTTGCCAAGCAAGTATAGGAGCTGCTTGCTGTACCTCATTGTTTTCCCGGAAGGCGACGTAATCAGGACTACAAGCTTGTCTAGAAGATGGGTTGCTGAGGGCCTGATCACTGCTACTACCACAAGTAGGGCAACTGATGAAATATGGAGTTCAACAGATGAAGCAGAGCATTGCCTGGATGTGCTTTTTATTCGAGGCTTTATTTCTTTTCCGGAAATCAGTGATGAAGGCAACATCAAGAGCTATACAGTACATCGTGAAGTCCGAGAGTTCATCGCCAGGGTATCTACGGATGTGAACTTTGTGGACTCGAACCTACCGCCACATCTGGCTCAGTACCTTTCCATTCACAACAGAATAGGGTTGCAAAAATCTATTTCAGATGGTGATGACAGCAATGATATTGCAGCTTATATTCCATCTTTGTCTGCATCTCCTCAATGGCAACTGTTGAAAGTGCTGGACCTAGAGGGCTGCAAAGGATTGGATAAAAACAAGAATCTGAAGAGCATCTGCAAGATACTGTTGCTCAAGTATTTCAGCCTCAGGAATACTGATGTGACACAACTTCCCAAGCAAATGAAGGAGCTCCAGTTTTTGGAGACGCTGGATATCCGACAGACAAAGGTGCCGGTTTTAGCCAAAAAGGCTATTGTGTTTCCACTACTGAAACATTTCCTTGCCGGTGACAAGATCTCTGTAAGCAATGACGCTAGGAAATCTGAAGGATCATTTTCAGCAGTGGAAATGCCCCTCGGCATTCACAGAATGAACAACTTGGAGATATTGTCCCATGTCCAAGTCACCAACAGCAGTAGTGAGCACTCTGGCATCGCTAAGCTTCTGAAACTGAGGAAACTTGGTGTAGCTCTTCGTGGAACAAGCGCCAAGCTGAGTGACCCGTTTCGCCAGATTGACAAACTACATAAATGCCTTCGTTCCTTGTCAGTCCGGATCCATCAACAGGCTGTTGGTGAAAAACATGATGTTTGACACTTCCAAATTTCATCAGAAGCCTAAACATCAGTGGCCTCACTAGCGCGCTTCCTCACATGATTGTAGAGCTCCATCAACTTGCCAAGTTAACACTGACAGAAACATACTTGAATGAAGATGGTCTGCGTATCCTTGGCAAGCTTCGTGGTCTACGCTGCCTCAGGCTTCTGCACAAATCATACATAGAAAGTGAGCTATCCTTCAAACAAGAAGAATTCCAAACACTCAATTTTCTGCTCGTCGGAACCAGTGAAGTCACCAACATTAACTCTGCCGTTTGGGCAGCTCCAATGCTTGAGAAGATCATTTGGTCTTTTCCCACAACAGCTTGCATTTCTGGACTCGGAAACTTGTATGTCCTGAGGGAGTTTGAGCTCAATGGTGAGTGCGACCCAGATCAAGTGAGAGAAGAAATTGAGGGGCTTTGGAAATTTCCTGTTTTCAAGCATAATCCAAAGGTTCAGAATCAAGAAGACATAGCTGCAGCATCAGCTTCATCCTCATCAGCTCCATGAATACTCATTACGTACTCTCCGTCAGCTTGAAGCTCACTTGGGTATTCCTCATTTAATTTCCTTTGAATAAAGATGCAGCTGATGCCTGATGGGAAAGCCCTGGCCATACCCGTTCAGCCTCATGCATCAGAGTGTGCATTCCTTTACACTGCATGTGCTCGTATCTTTTCCGTTATTTGTCTGAGTGAAGTGTTTGGTTTTCGGTCTCTAGACTGGAAACCTTTTTATCTTGTTGTTGCTTTTCTGTGAATATGTGTGCGAGTTCGTGTTTATGTGTGCGACTTGATTTATGTCTATTCTTTCAGTTGTGTGAGATGACTGGAAATGGAATTACAACTTGTGACCTTGTTATTTACTACTCCGCACTAGACTAGAACGGCTGTGTACTTCGGTGTCATTTGTGTTTGTACTTTGGTGACCTTGGCTCACTGAACCTGGATGTTTAACTTTCCCAGGAATATGGTGAAATAAATGGTGGAATGCCTCACTAATTGACCAGTGTTACGTGTAATTGATGGATGTCATGGGTTGGTACTGATACTGAAATACAAGAGTAAGTTGCTATAATATACTGGTACTACTTACCTGTATGTAATGGGAAGTAATACAGCGACATGTTGATTTGAGTAGCAGGCAAGCCTTCTTCGAAATCGCCAGCAGAGTCTGCTGCCACTCCCGACCACCATCCTGCTATACTATTTATCCTTGGCGAGCCCTCTCTGCCGTCCGCCGTCCGCCGCCGCTAGGGAAAAATAGGTTGAGACTCTCCATGCTTTTTGATCTGGTTGGAGAGTGATTTGCCGCGATCACCTTGTTTGTGGGCTGTAGGCCATCTGGCTGCCCCAGCCGTGTGCTCCAATTGTTTTAATTGGGCCTCTGAGAAATAGTGAACCGTAACAAACATAGGGTGCCGACATATACACCATGTTCGCTTGATCGTATCAGTCATGCTTATCAGCTATAATACAGTGTTTTTCTCTCACAATAAAACAACATCAGCCAGCTTATATGTCATCATGATTTGAATTACAAAAAAAGAATGGTTGCCCTTAGAACTAACCTGTGTGTCCTAGGATGTGTAGAATATTACAATAGCACCAAACATAAGCAGCAACTCTAACACACTAGGGCATGGAAGAAACAAAAATGGGACTCCTATAATTTTAAATATATTGATCTCAATTAAATTATGTGTGCATTGGTTCAAATATCAAACCTAGTTTTAAATGAGTTTTGACTACAATTTGGCTTACTTAAACACTATATGATTTTTTTTTCAAAAAAAATGCATCTTTCATTTGGGGCTTTATTTTGTCTGGAATGTTGCAGCTGCACTGCTTATATGCTCAATGGACAAATATTACCAACCGTATTTTCTTCTGTGGACAAGGAAAAACATACCGAAACCGACGATGGATTTGATAAACCCATCTCTTGTCCAGTAGCGGATCCAGAAATGAACTAAGAGGGGGGCTAAATAATACAAGACTAGAAAGCTATCTAGCCACAGAATAATAGATATAAGAAAGATTGGTATCGATTCAAAGTGCTCAAACAATACATACATAGAACAACGAGGATAAAAATGTACCTAATAAAGAGAGCCTTTCATAACAAAAAAAAATTCACATGTCTTCAGTCTTCAAGAATTCACACCAAGCTATAGATAAATTTTTTAGCATAATACTTTTCCATTCTAGCCTTTTATCCCCTATATTTGAAATGTTGCAAAGTAAAATGCAATTATTAGAAACGATATATGAAATAAAACAAAAATAAGGCATCTGTCATCAGTATTCACTATTCAGTATTCAGCAGCGCCTCGGGACTGGGGGCTCTCACCGTGACTGCTGCGGGTGCTGGCTGCTGGAGACCTGGAAGCTGGAGCTGGAGCAGTGGAGTCTGCAGCCAAGATGCAGAGAGGAGAGGGCTCAGGGCTGGGCGGCTGGCCGGGTGGCGGTGGCCGCTGGCTGGGCACGGCCGTGGGGCGGCAGGCACTAGTACACTAGTGCTTTCTCTTGGCGTCACCTTTTTTTTCACCGACGGTTCAAAAAGAGCAGGTGCCACTGGAAATAAAATTGTGGGTCTAGATCATAAATCGCCAATGTAAATTCATTTTTACTGGTTGTTTTCTTAAGTTTACTGCTAGTAAAAATACATAATTTCTACTGGCGGTAGCCTTAAGAAAACAGCTGGTAAAAATGTATTTATAGTGGCGGTTTTCATAACCTAGCATCAATACAAATACACGTCGAATATTAAAAATTAAGTACTAAAATTTAAATTTTTCAAACGACCTCAGATAGAGAAATGACCAAAATAAAAGTTGTAGATCTCGAAAAGCTATAAAACTTTGTTGTTTACAACATTTCCATTTGAAATCATTTGATGTTTCAAAATGCTGTTTGAAATTTAATTTTTAAATGGTCGAAGAACTCTGATCTCTCTTTTTAATCTCTGGCTAAAACTTATAACTAGTCTTTCTCCCTCGTACTATCTTCAAATTACTTGATTTTTATTCTTAAATTTTTGTAAAATCATGCTTTATCAATTTATTGTGTTTTTACATCTAATATTTTTGTCACCTTTTCTTGTGAACATTTCAAAATTTGAGTTTCAAAAATGACAACTTCAAACAGCATTTTGAAATGTCAAATGATTTTAACTGAAGAAGTCATGAACATAAAAGTTGTAGAACTCATCAAGATCTACAACTTTTATTTTGGTAATTTTTTCATCTGACGAAGTGGTAGTAAACATTGTTCACAAATGACATATCTCTTATATAGTTTCATAAACTATGTGATAGATTTATGAATTTGTAAACACGGTAGATTATCACTTTGTTGAATGAAGAAATAACCAAAATAAAAGTTATAGACCTTGGTGAGTTCTACAACTTTGTTGTTGATGACTTTTGCATCCGAAATCATTTGTTATTTCAAAATCTTATTTGAAGTTCTTATTTTTTAAAATTCAAAATTTGAATTGTTCAAACCAAGTCACATGAAAAGATGACCAAAATAAAAGTTGTAGATCTCGATGATTTCTAACTCTTTGTAGTTGACAACATTTTGATTTATAATCATTTTCTCACGAAAAACTACGTTTAAATTTCTCAAATTTGAAATTTGAATTTTTGAAACGACCTCGGATGGAGAAACAACCAAAACGAAAGTTGTAGAACTCAAAAAGTTATGCAACTTTGTAGTTGAAAACTTTTTGATTTAAGGTCATCTTGTCAAGGAAAACTACGTTTAAATTTCTTAAATTTGAAATTTGAATTTTTCAAACGACCTCGGATGGAAAAACAACCAAAATGAAAGTTGTAGATCTTGAAAAGTTATGCAACTTTATAGTTGACAATTTTTTTATTTGAATTTTGTTTAGGGTCTCAAACAATCAATTTAAACTTGGTTGATGATAATATGAGGAGAAAGAAAATACATTATAGGGACAAGTGAGTGTGAGGTGCAGTGGTTAGAAGAGTATCGCGCGAGGGGAATCCTGCTGGCCGCGAAGAGTGCAAAAAATACCGTGACTTGTAAATTCGACGGAGCAGGCGGGTGGCTGACTGGTGGGGCCTCCTTGGATTAAAAAAATTTGTTATTTTTTGAGCCCGTTTTGCAATTTTTTGAAAATCATTTGTAGTGACGGTTCTCTAGAAGACGTCTGTGCAGTTCGCGATTTTCACTGGCCTTTGCCACTAGCGGTACTTACAAACGCATGTAGAAATAGATTTGGAACCACCAATAGTGAGCTCTGCTGTACTAGTGGGGGGTAGGCCAGCAGGGACCGGGTTGTCGGGAGCCGGCTAGGGCCAGGCGCTGGCTGGCAGGGGCGAGGGCGGGGGCGCGGCCGCACGGGGCCGGGCTTGGCTGGAGTCGCGACGGTGGACGAGTGAAGCTTGATGGTGATGCGGAGTTCGTGAGACGGGAGCTGAGTTGCAAGCGAGCGGCAACGGTGCAGATGCGGGGGGAAAGTATGCCGCCGGGGCTAGCGTTGATGGTTGGTGGGCCAAGGGAGGGCTATTGGGCTGATTTCGCGCTTTTTTTAAGATCTGCTCCTATAAAACTTGGGCCACGCTCCGGGCTGCAGCCCGGGGCCCATATCCGCCCCTGCTCTTGTCGCCGCACAAACATTAGCTGGATCTGGATGGCTGTGTCCAGTGCGGCTGCCAGGAGTCCTTGTGATAATCTCTATCTCTATCTCTATTCCCTATAAAACACCACTCCAAATTATCCTATAGCCACCAAGCAAATCCCACCTCTAGAGTCATAAACTAAACTACATCCAACCCACAAAACGTACACTTTACATTGTTTACTAGGTAGCGTGCTCGTGCGTTGCTACGGGATAACTAAACTTTTATACTAAAAACACACGAATCGCACGATAAGATAACAATACTATAACATTAAATACGCACGTTAATCCAAAAAGCAAAGTTCGTGAAATTAACAGTCACACACAGCACGGCGTCGCAGACTCACAAACTGTATAGATCTTTCCACACGACATGGGGGCTGTTGGCATTCACATTGTTTCAGGTCATTGTGTTGCGAGTCAGCTCCGCCGCACGCGTGTCGCCGTCTCCGTCACCTCCGTGGCACATCAGCTAGCGCCGCTAGCCACCACGCCTCAACCATGCGCGCCGCATGCCGCCTTCTCCGCCCGCTGCGTAGGCCACACCTCGCCTAGCTACGGGCTGCCACAGCGTCGACACCCTAGACTCACGCATGGGTTAGGACCGCGCCGGTAGCGACGGCGGCCCTGCACTTCTTGCTCTGTAGTGAGACATGGATTTCCTTTATCAGTTATAGCCTCTTGAATGCTAAGATTCTCATGAACTTCTTAAGATTCAATAGGACTAACACAACCAGATTCTTCACTTAATAGGAACTTCGCTCAGTCATTCAGATAGGAAGAACAGATGTATGATAAAGAGATAAAATACACGTGCTGAAGATTGTACCTATTATTGGTCTCAAGTACATCTCTACAATGCTTCAGAACTGTCAAGGCTACAATTGTATATTCAAATCTAGATTAGTGAAGTCTATCATACTGAACACACACACATGCATTCTACAATGCTTATGAACACATAAATGTGGTTGAGCTGTGGCAAAATAAAGAAAATGAACTAATATTACTTGTTCATTTGTACAGCTAGCAAGCAAATTGAAGAATTTTATTGTGCCCATTTAACAATCCATAACGGCTTAAGTTCAGTTAGCTGATATGGTCTTCCTAAAATGCAGGCTCATCCATCTCCATGGACCATGGTTAATGTTATTACAATTACAGTAAAATCTCTTTCTATAAAGTAGTAAAGGATATTAGCATGGGCATATCTTGTTCCAAATATCTTGTTGATCTAACTGTACATCCGATGGATGCACTCGTAAAATGACCAAGGTCAGCAAACATTGCTTCACTGCCTGAAAAGTGGAAAGTAGACATGGTGATTAAATCCTAAATGGCAAACAGGTTATAAAAAAAACAGAAAGGGAAAGGTAAACATGATACATCACTCCACGGTCATAGAAAGAAGGATCCCTCCTAAAGCAATCCATCTATCTTTACCTGTCTTTTTAAAGAACTTAACCATATAATATGGAGAGAGAGCTTGATATATATTTGGGTTGGGTTCCAATGAAGAATGTTGTATAAACCAATTCCTCCAATGGAAAGCAGCCAGATGATTACAACTGGTCCAAACATGATTGTAGTTCTTTGTACCCTGGTGTTTGCAAGGCAAATAGACCATCCTACACAATGCACGAAAGGAGAACTACAGAAACCTGGATAGGACACAAATTGCATGTGAAGCACAACAGGATCAACTTCTGAAGTATATAAACTGGTTGGTGATTGTAAAAAGTATGCCAGAGAATCTCTAAATGATAAAAGGTAATCTTCATAAAAGACACAGAAATACAGAAAAAAATCATGGGCAAATGACAGAAGGTGGATGTATCCAGACGCAAAAAAAGGAAAAAAAAAACAGGGATCTAGAAGCGAAATTGCACTATAAAAGCAACAAGTGAGTCAAGATAGAAACAAGGGGTGGATGCAATAGAGCCAACAAGAATATGATATAATCCATGGATAGCAAGCACAATACTTTTAAAAATAATGAGTACTGTGAGATAGTAATGTCCAATTTCTTAGTACAACGATCAAAATCATCAATATTTATTGAAAGCACCGGAAGAAATTCCAAACAAAGAGCATAAACCCCAAGTGAACCCTTCTTTTCCAAAAGGGAATATCAAATGTATGCTAACAGTGGCTTATAGACCTGCAATGTCGAGCAACTTGAATTACACACCTTCACAATCGTTCACATGGGATTCACACATTCTTTGATCCATAAAAAATATTTAACTTCATATATGTTGTATGAGAGATGGAACCATCCTAAATAGGAAGTACAGTACTTGAGTGTCGTAGACATACCTATCAAAAAGACCAAGTCTGATGATAACATCCACAAGATTCGAATTAGCCTTCCCCACAAGTTGAAAGAGTTTTTTTCTTTGCATGGTGAAGTTGCCAGTTTTTTCCGTGACACGATTAATTTCAGTGAATTCCTCAACCATATCATCAACCTATCAAATTAGTATTTTTGGAGTTCAGAACTTTTAGACAAAGCTTTGATGATACTGTCACAACACATAAGTTCATTAACTTCGCAAAATTTTAGTACCTGTCGAATATAATGATCAAGGGTGATACTTTGACCAAGAACGCTTGAAATTATGCAAATCCCATCCGTGTCCAAACTTTTAAGAACTATATAATCAAGACCTCCTTTCGCCCATGTTGTCAAGGATGGTTTCTCAACCACTGCATAATCTATTCATGCAAAATAGATGGCACTGCATCTTTACAACGAGTCAAACAGCGAAATTCCAAGGGGCATATGCCAAAGCATCACAGTGACCAAAAAGCAGTGGCAACTTATTTCTGCTAAACAAAAATGCACACAACGCACAGCCTAGGCATGCGATGATTCTCTTTAAGTTGAGTTCTATCACAGTTGCCAAATAGGATCTTGAATATAAAAGAAGGCAATTATACTATTTTCTATCCATGCAAATGTTATCAAGGAACACAAAAATGGAGGCAAGTAAAAAGCAGTAAACAGACACAGTTTAGCAGTGAGCACACTGGGCATACCATCTTTTCTCGTCTCTGGAAGCCATCCTGAAGCATGCTTCCTAATTATATCAAGATAGTACTCAGCTTCATGATCAGCAATGCTAAAAAGCAGAGCAGAACCATACTGGAAAATAATCTCAGGTGGGAACTTGGAGTACCAAAGCGCAATGTAGTTAAGCAAACAGGTCGGTGGAGGTACAATATCATTCCCGTGCTCCGCTTGCATGCTCTTCAGATCAATGCTGCCATGGCGAGGAGCAAAAATTGAAAACACGTCATTTTAGTTCGCAGCGCCAATTGGGCATTGGCATCTCTTCAGAATAGCACGGTAGCACCGAATGTTTCCTCGCTGATAAATCATCAAACACCTATCGAGCAAGCACTGGAACGGCGCTACGTGCTTACCTAGTGGAGAGGAAGTAGGCCTTGATGGGGATGTAGCGTGCCGGGCCCTCGTCCTCCTCCTCTTGTGGCGGCATGGGCGCCGGGGCCGACTCGGTCCCCGCGCGAATCCAAGCCCAGTACGCCGAGCCGCCGAGGCCCGAGTCGTGTGCGTCGTGGGGCGCGATGGCCACGGCCGCCGAGGCCGATGAGAAAAGCCTCGAGAAAGGCGATACGTGAGCGGCCACGGCGTTGGACCCCGCTGATCTAGCACCAAAGGATGGGGTGCAACTAACGATGGGGATGGAGAGGAGGTACCATCGGATCAATAGGGCGATGGGAAGGGGGTGCCACCGGATCCCAGGGCGATGGGGAGGGGGAGCTGCCAGATCCCAGGTTGAGGAGGGAGCACCACCGGACCTACAAGGCGTTGGGGAGGCCCCGAGATACCCGACTCCCATGGTGGCGGCGGCCCCTCCCACCGGCGGCGGCGGCTCCATGGCGCTGGGATCGAACCGTGGCTGCGCCCGCATGGGGGTGAGGGAGGAGGACCGTCGGGGACTGCTCTCACTGGCACACCGCCTGCGGGGGTGCCGTAGCCATGGGGTGTGAATCAATTCCTTCAATTTTCCTGGTGGCGTTCAATAGCTCAGTTTACATCTATTGCACGGTGGCATACGATGATCAGGTGTGATCGCCTTGGGCCCGCATGGAGTGGCATTTTTAGGAAAAGGGTGGGGAAGCGCTGGGTGGGATCGCATGCTTCGGCGCGTCGGGTACTTGCGGGATCGCACGGGGAGGCAGAGCGACGACCCGAAAATTTGAACGTAGCAGGCAGGACGATGGACCCACGTTAAAATGTCGCACAAAAAAGTGTCCACACTTTGTTCTTTTTAGTTGTAGGAGATTTTGATAGGGCTGAATGCCGATATTGTGTTTCCAAAATTCATTAGTGTTTATATATGCCGGTAAACAGAACGTGAAGCCCTGCAAGTGATGATAGTTTCTCTAGAAACTACTAACTGAAGTCTCCTAGGTAAGAACAACCTTCAAGCTCGAATCTAAATTAAGTAGCGGGTATTATAAGTTAAAACTATTTTAGCATTTTTCAGAAAGCAGTTAGCTTTTGAGAAAAAGATCAAATAGTTTTTGTAAATGGTCCTATGTATCCTTTTCCTGTAGATGAAGCACATGTGTTGATATTACATTCTCAGTGTTCTTTGTTCATTCTTCTTTAGATTTACTTGGGTTTAATCGTGAAGTTTGGTGCATTCTGAAAGTTTTTTATGGAAATCAAAGAGGTTGGTTGAGTTTTGATCTTCAAAGCGGTTTCATTCGACTCTAGAATGCAACATGGTATTACTGAACTTCACTAAACTTCTGGTACAGGGGCCATTGAAAAAACATGGGACATATTAGGTTGTTGCTTTCAGAATGACAAAATATTCAGAATGATGCAAGTTTGCCAATTGCTTTTAGGCGTTAGTTGCCATTATAACTTTCTTAACTTTTTTTCTTTGTCATGTGCCTGTGTAGTAGACTTTCTGAACGACATGTTAGAATGATCCAGACATCACTTATGAACCACATGTCGTCTGCAAGACAAAAGTTGCCTGCCAATTCTATCCAAACCAGTGTTCGCCTAAACGGTTTAAACGGCCGTTTAAACGGCCAGTAAACGGTAAACGGTGGTAAACTGTCTTGTTTAGGGGGTAAACGGAAATTAAACGGTTGACCGTTTAAACGGTCAAAAAAGGGAAAAAACGGTCTAAACGGCCTAAACGGAACGGAGATAAACAGCATTAAACGGGCTAAACAACTATTTAAACGGCTGTTTAGGTGAACACGAGGTAAATGTAGTTCAGTTTTGTATGGATAAATTTGTATACTTAAGTTTATTATATTTATAAATATGTACACTTGATATGTTACATGCATAAATATCTATATTTGGTTCTTTTCACATGCATAAATATATATACATACCAAAATAATTGATTTTTACTCGGATAAATATGTATAACTGATAGAATACTTGATTTTTTACATGCACATATATAATTATATGTATTTTTTTTAAAAGTACAAAACCATTTAGACCGTTTAACTTCGTTTAAACACCGTGTAAACAGCCTAAACGCTAAATGAAGGGCGACCGTGTAAAAACCGTTTACCGTTTAGGAAAACATTGATCCAAACTACTACTTCCATAAGGTGCTAATTGCCATCATAACAATTGTGGTTTTGCCAAAACTCCCTGCAGGTTTCAAGGGCTAATTCTCTGCAGCACCTAAACATTGGTGGAACATTTATCACAGATGAATCCCTGTATGCAGTTGCAAATAGCTGCACAAATATGAAGGTGTGCCTCTTTTTTCCCTGAATCTCAAGTACTTCAGTTTACGGCTACCTATGAAATATGGATATAGGAACAGTCCAAATCTGTTGTTTGCGAATAATCGTTGTATGCTTTGGGCTACAGCTCAGGTGATGTGTTCATCAGGAGAGTGGTGGCTAAGGGCAGGGACATATAGTTGAAGTAAGCTTATCCCAATGGTAGTAATAGTCTCTTTATATTTTATACTTCATATGGTGTTTGGCAGTTTGGCATACTTAAAATTATGACCTCTGATATTCTCAGTAAGGATCACTCCTGCATTCTAAAAGCTTCTGCCGTTCATATCAGGTTGTAGTTCTTTTTTATAAATATTTCCTTTCTAGGACTTCCAAGAACTTAAGCCATAAGGAGCAATATTAAGATGTGTCACTTAGCTTAAAGAATTTCGAGATAATTGCCTTGAACCATTCATGATTTGTAATTTCTATTGTATGGTAAATTTCTCTTTGAAATATCTTTGAATATGTTCACATTAACTTCAAGATCCTACTTAAATATTTCCCTGTAGGTTTCAAGGGCTTCTCTGCAGATAATTGGGGAACTTGAAAGTAAGAATCAAGGATGTCAATATTGTAGGCAATTAGTATAGTTGAATGAATGACTCAATTAGCAACAAATAGTACTTTTGTATGTTCTAGTTTTCAAAAGCTGGGCGGCGAGTACCTTTGTATGAGTGTTTTTCGGATTATATACATGGTCATATACAATTGTGTGAAACTTAAACTATAGAAAAAATATTGTCGTGTGGTTATTTTCATGGGCATGCCTGAAATGAAGCCGTGGCGTTAGCACAGGCACTATACTAGTTACAACAAGAATGCAACTATGTGTTACGTGCCACGTAAAGTGGTTTACGTTTGATCAAGTTTCTGGTGAATGGTATTCATATTTATGGCTCTAAATTAATTTATTTATGAAAATACATTTCATACTTAATCTATTTGTATTTATTTGATATCATAAATATTAACATATTTTTATCTTTAATTGGTTAAACTTAAGATACTAAAACGTGACACTGTGCTAGAATTGCATTCTTTCTAGGACGGAAGGAGTATATTTCAAATGTTTATAAACCCATTTCTTGTTTGGTTGGAGTCCTAGGCAGCTTGCCTAGTAAAAAATGATACCTGTAAGTTGCCTAAAAGTTGATGGTTTCTATCTGGCGAGGCAATTTAAACAATATGTGTGTTTGGTTGGAGGCCATATCTAGTAACACAAATTAAATTAAGATATATTGCATATTACTCTTGCATATTGCTATAACTATTCATAGAGAATTGTACATATATTTAAGTTAGATAATTGATTTGTGTTTTTCTAAAACAAAATAAAAGGAAATGAAAAAATGGTACAGGCACTTCTTTTGTACTCACTGAACTATAGCAAACAAATCATGTAGTGGCTAATTAGTGTTGTCACGACGTTCGCTTTGTTATTTTGAGAAGAAAAAGAAGAAAAAAAAAAGGAAAGACCGAATGGTGCTAATCACCTCCATTGGCCCTGTTCGCTTCTCTTATAATCCATCTTTTTCGGCTTGTTTTTTCAGTCGGAATAGTGTTTTCCTCTCACAATAAATTAGCGGGAACAGTATTTCGGCTCGTTTTTTTACGAAGCGAACAGGGCCATTATGGCAGGCAATTACGGTTGCCTGTGCCAGGCGTCCAGAAACGTGTGCCGGAGGCAGGCAACCAGCGCTAATTACCAACCAGGCTAGGCAACACAATCGAAGTTTAGGGTTGCAACCAAATAAGGTACATGCACAACACAAGATGCACATCACAAGCAGTGCCCGCGTTTCCCCCTGCCTGATCTGAGTAACAAACGAAGGATATATGCAAGCTAGATCAGTCAGAACGTATACCAAGTCAAGAACAAACAAATGTTTACTGGTCAAATATCTCAGTTTTCTAATCTCTACTATAATGGATCAATCAAAATTACACATACAGAAGATCGCTCAGTCTAGCCGGCCATAACCCCGGCACCGTGACGAACGCGCAGTAGGCCACAAAACCCTAGCGGCCCGGCTGCGATCGCCGGCTGAAGATCCTTGTTGGCCAGCCACAGCTCATTGTCATCGCAGGTACTTCACCATCACTATCAGTATCACAGGGACTCTGAAGTTTTGCACTGAGTTCAACTAAAGTATCTTCGTAAACATGGAGCCTTTTCTTTCTCATGTTTTTTCATATCAGAAATCACTTCTTCTTTTTTTCACCATCTAATGGTTTAAATGTCGAGAATATTTTTTTTCATTCTAGATCAATATGTACCAGTGCCAGGGTGCAACTTGATTGATAAAATAATAATAATAAATAATATTCATGTGTTGCAAATGTTAGAATTCCTTTTATTTGTGAACTGATGTACTATAGAATTCTATATACAACTCAATTTACCAAAACCAAAAGTTCAGTATTCAGATGGGACAAGAGTAACTATATTTCCCATGATCAATAATCCTGGTTTGCTCTAATTGGTCTAAATTTCAATGCATAAAACAAAATCAGAGGAGAATTCAGATAGCTGGCTAAAGGGAGAACGAGAGAGACTGTTGTAACCTTCCGAGGCATCTTCCCAAGAGTTTCCATCATCAGAGCCATGTGGTCCTGTAAAATTGGTAACAAACAGACCGTTCAGTTGATTAAATGACGATAACAAACAGATAACAGTAGGCTTGATAAACAGGAGTCAACATTCAGAGTTGATTGATTTAGGAGCACAATTGACATAGATTCTTACATAGGCATGACATCAAATTTCGCATGAATAGGGCAGTCAAGCAGGTAACAGAACAGAAAATTTGTACATGCAACTAATTATTGTCAGTCCACTGGTACTTCAATTTTTGCAAGGCATTACATCCGGCAACCAGAACTATATAGCTTGATCTTGTTTTTCTAGAAAGAAAAGGTCAGTACAAACAGAACAGCTGGCAAGTTCAGTCCCTTTTCTGTAATCTTCAGTAGAATTGACAAAATGCAGTTAGCAGTTTCTGCTTACAGTTGCTATACAAAACTATTCTAACACAGTTCTTCGATTTGAACCTACATGCTGTAGTGTAGTTTATTTTGCAAGATCATAATAGAGAGGAACCCACAAGCATATATCACAATAAAAATCTGTTTGCATAGCAGCATCTCATAGTGCGCCTCAAATGTTGCACATCAAAGTTGGTGAGGTCATTAAAATACTTTCAATTCCATAAAGATTTCTTTTTTTGCGAAAGAATTCCATAAAGATTTCAGTAGTTGGCAGCTCTCAGGTTGGGTACATCTTTTACAGGATTGAATATATTGTTTTAATTCTGAAGTGCCCCACTATATGATATATATATATATATATATATTGTGTCAGCGCAATTTTTTAAATGCCTGAATAATTGCAAGGGAGTGTTTGAAAGTATAGTGGATGAACACACCAAATATTGTGCTGTATCAGTACTCACTTTTTGGGTCTGTTTATATAAAAGAAAAATAAGTAGAAGGAAAGAGGAAAAAATTATAACTCCCTTGCATGTTTTTTTAAGATCCTATGTGGTCCTCCTTGACTTTCATGATTTGAAGCTACAGTCATGTGCTATGTCTGGTACTCTGGTTACAGTTACTAGCACAGCTTATAGCTTACACAAATAACATATGTTTCCTCCTTAATTTTGATGCAAGGTATGCCAATTTACAAGTCTGAAAAATTTGTAATTGCTAATGTGAAATTAGTTCAGTGCCAAACCAAATATTGAGGGAACGATTGCAGAATCCAGAAAATTGAACATAACCCCGGCGCCGCGACAAACGCACAGCAGGCCACAAAACCCTTGCGGCCAAGCTGCTGCCCAGCTGAATATCCTTGCGGGTACTTCAAAATGTCTACACCGAGAGAGACGCACGATGCGCTAAGCGATATCACCAACATCGCAGGTATGGTTTTAATATGTATCTATACAACACTTTTGGGGTGTCTTTTCGATTTCCTATATATATGTCCAAACGCATACTTTAGATGAGGCCTCGCGGAAGAGGGAGGAAAGAAATGCGTCAACGGATTCGTCCAGTTGAGATGTCTAGCAAGCAAAGGGAAGAGATGAAGAAGAAACAACGTGAGTACCAGCGTGAGTACTGAGCACTTATAGTCTTTGTATGGAAAAAAAATCATATTTTGGTTGTTTTCATGTGCATTTCAAAAATAAAGCTGTGGTGTTAACACGGACATTATACTAGTTATCAAAGCCTTCAGTACTCTCTTTTTAAAAAATAGAACGAATCTCAACGCAGGTAATTAAAGAAATTAAATATTTTATATTATTTTGCATCTAGGTCCTGCCCTGAGAAGTAACGTCGTGACTTCGTATTCATGCCGTGCCATTTCACTCGTCGCCAGCAAAGGCTTGCTACTCCTCCCCCGATCCAATTGTTCGTGCTTTGCGGCAAGAGTACGGCGGCGCCATCGAAGCCCCATGCCACCGGCCACCGCACCCCCATGGCCCCCACCGCACCACGCGCCACCGGCCGGGGGAGGCGGCAGTCCGCGCCCCCATGGCCCCCACGTGCCACCGGCCGGGGAAGGCGCCCGGCCGCGCCGGGCCGCGGCACCGTCTTAGGTTGCCATGTCTGTGCTCACTCTGTATTCTTGATTCAAGCGTTCCAGTTTGATTTCTTCTTTTCTTAGGTTAGCCACTGATCAAAGGGGCGTGATTGTGTTCTTGAGGCCAACAGTGGGAACGCACGAGTACCTGGCGCCCGTGATCGTGTCCGGGGACGGGCACAGCAGCGCGGTGGACTGGTGGACGCTGGGCATCTTCCTCTTCGAGCCCCTGTACGGGGCCACGCCCTTCCGGGGCCACGACGATGAGGCCACGCTCGCCAACGTCGTGGCGCGCGCTCGAGTTCGCCCGGGACCGGGACCCCGCCGCCGCCGTGTCAGTGTCGCCGGCCGCCAGGGACCTCGTCGCCGCGCTGCTCGTCAAGGACCCCCGCGTCGCCTCGGCCATCAAGCGGTACCCTTTCTTTGGCGGCGTCAACTGGGCGCTGCTCCGGTGCACTAAGCCCCGATACGTGCCGCCGTCGTTCAGCGTGCGTAACGGTAAGGCTGGCGGCGGCGGCAGCGTTAGTGGGACCGGCGATGCCGATGCCAACGACGATGAAGACGAGGAGGACTTGTCGGACGGCAGTCGTCCCTGTAATTCACTGTAATTGTCCCTGTAATTCACTGATGTTACAAGTCCTCGACTACTTCAAATAGATGATTTCAGAAACTGATCTTGTATAGTTCTATTGCTGCCAATAAATCTGAAATCCATTTTTCTTGTTCGTTGTGGCACTTTGTATTTTTTTTTTCTGGGGAGGAAATAACTACTGCTGCCGTATCACCAGTTCATGTAATTACTGTTCATTCAGTTACAGGTGAACTGTTTCCTGTTTCTCCTATGCCAACAATTATCCGTGAGCTGACTAAGACACGGCCGTGCACTTCTAGTGGCAGCAGCAGCAGCAATGGTGATGGTGGCTTGGGTATCAAAGAGATTGCTGCCATAGCTTCAGCATCAGCCATTGTCGTGGTTCTGTTAGTTGCACTGACCCTGTGCATCTGCACAAGGAAATATCCTCTGAGACCATCAAAGCGCTCTTTAGGTAGAAGGAAAGTCAGGGTTTTCGCAGATGTTGAAATTGGAGCCCCACTGACATATGAGACTGTTGTCCGCGCTACTGGGAATTTCAATGCTAGCAAGCTCATCGGCAACGACGGCTTTGGCGCGACATACAGAGCCGAGGTGGCACCAGGAGTTCTTCTGGCAAAAGAGGCTTGCTATTGGGAAGCAGCATGGCGTCACTCTCTTGGGGTACCACATCAGCGAGTCGGAGATGTTTATGATATACAACTATCTGCCAGGTGGCAAACTGAAAAGGTTCATACAAGAGAGGGGTAAGAGGCCAATAAGCTGGAGAAGGCTTCACAAGATTGCTAATTGGCTATGGATGTTGCCCGTGCTCTGGCGTACATGCATGACGAACTTTTGTGCAGCCGTTATATAGTGCTACTTTGTCAAGATGTTTCGTAAGCTCTGGATGATCCAGTTACCCATTTTGTTTTTTCTGCTGCTGTACTACTGTAGTTTCGTTCATCGGATATACAATCAGTCAAGTTCAGGCTTTTTTTTTGCATCTGAGCAGAGCTGACCAAATCTCTCATGTTAATTTCTGCCAGCTTCCCTGCATCATGTGTCTCATCATCTACAAGCCCAGGAGGTTGAGCCTCTCATGGTTCACAAACTGAGAAAGAAAAACATTTAGGCAATGAAACTCACAATCCAGAGTAATTTTCTCTCTTCAGCATCATAATCTGTCTGCTTAACCTCTACTTTCTTTCCCCCGCTTTCTGCATGTTCTTCTTCAGATACGCATTGTTATTGGGGTGCTGCTGATGGTGCTGTCACCGATTGGAGGACTCCGGCAGATGATTCTGAAAATCAAGACTTACAAATTCTACCAAGACTACCCTGGTTGAAGCCATAATTAGCAGGCACCATTATCAGCTAAAACTGCACGCATCTCAACTATATCGACCGGCGTGCCCTGCGCCGCGGCGGCCGGCGGCGCGTGGTGCGGTGGGGGCGCGGACGTGGACGGAGGGGGAAGGAGGCGCGGTGGGGGCGATGGGGGGGGGGTGTGGTGGCCGGAGGCATGGCCGCCGCTGCTGGGGAATCGCCGGCGCAAGGGACTGGAGGATGGAAAACGCGTACTCGCGATACGTTTGGCGACGGCGTCTCAGACGGAATAACGGAGCAGAGCGTTAGGGCTGGACACGGGGCTGGGCTTGGACGGGCCTGGCCCAGGCGGGACCCAGTTGCAATATAATGTAAAATAATTAATTTCTTTAATTGTCTGCTTCGAGATTTGTGTCATTAAAAAAAAAAAAGAGTACCGGAGCAGTTGCCTACAAATAATGTTTCCAAGTCATGAATTGTCTATTCAGCTTTGACTTTACAACAACGATGTGAAACACAAATATTTTCTATCCAACGAAGGGTTTGTTTAGTTCTCAAAAAAAAATTCAAAAAGTGCTGCAGTAGTCATCACATCGAATCTTGCGATACGTGCATGGAGCATTAAATGTAGACGAAAAAAAACTAATTGCACAGTTTGGTTGGAAATTGCGAGACAAACGTTTTGAGCCTAATTAGTCCATAATTGAACACTAATTACCAAATAAAAACGAAAGTGTTACCGTAGCCAAATTCCCAAAATTCATGAACTAAACACAGCCAAACAAAAGTTGCTGCCTATCACGAGGCTGCAAGAACCAACCCTCCAGAAACCGGCAAGATCTACAACACCGATGAGTTCTGCGAATAATACATCAAGATCTCACTGTTACAAAGTTATACCGGTACACCAAAATCGAAATGTACAATGAATATCCCAGCTAATTAATCATTCTTTACAACAAATATTTTCCAAAAAACAATTACTAAAAATATATGTGGCATTGCGCATATAGCTATCAAGAAAAGACAGCAGTTGAATAGAGAAGTATGCAAGATCAAAATATGTCGGGAAAGGTTGTGCAAACCCAAGAGGAAAACAAAGAAGAGAAGGATGAACAACATGGACGCGGGAAGGAGGACGAGGCTGACTGAAAACCATGGAGGGTAGTGGCCTGTGCTCGTGAGGGGTGGTGTGCACCACATATCGATGAGGATCTCGTCAATGCCAAAGTGGAAGGGCCTCCCCCCGCAGGGTGGGGTTTGGAAAAAATTGGGTCCGGATGCACTACCAGAGAGCACAGAATTCCTTGCGGCTTGAGTTTTTCCCGTCGGTATTTGGAAAACCCACAGGAACTACAACAGCCTCCTGTCGCGGTGAGGATCGACTTCCAACCGCATGGACAAATATTGAACTGGCTCACTTGACCTCCTGTAGTCCCTAACCGCGCGACCCACTCCAAGCGCTCGCTCCTGAGTTTGTCCTGTGGTGGAGTGATGACGAGCTGACGGCGCGTCTTTTTCAACCAGCATGTGGGGTGCGAGTGATGATACACGGTGCACCACAAATGTAGGTACTGATTGGGCTGACTATTAATGACGATGGTACGGTGCTAATGCCACCTCACCGTCACGACGTATGGGGACTACGTCGACGACGACAGCGCTAGCTAGGTTGGGGACGTAGTACTAAGTGACTGTTTAGTTCCCAAAATTTTGCAAAATTAAGATTCCTCGTCACATCGAATCTTTGAACGCATGCATGAAGCATTAAATATAAATAAAAAATAAAACTAATTACACAGTTTAGACGAAATTCACGAGACGAATCTTTTAAGTCTAATTAGACTATGATTGGACACTAATTGGCAAATAACAACGAAAATACTATAGTACCATTTTCCAAAAAATTTCGCCAACTAAACAAGGCCTATGTAGTGGGGCAAATCACCGCAGCTAGGTTCATCGTAGTACCAGTGGCGATATGCGCAAAAAAAAAAAAAATAGTACCCGTGGCGATTCTAGCCGAAAACATCACTGGGGTTATCGGGTCAGGTCTTGAACTTTAGAAGTGACCCCAATGAACCCCTCTAAATTCGCCCCTGCATAGTACTCCCTCCATACTTTTTATTTGTCGTTCTCATCTCCCGAGAAGTCAAACACATTTAGCTTTAACTAAATATATAAAATAAAATATTAATATTTATAATATCATTAGATAGATCGTTAAATCTATTTTTATAATAAATTTATTTAGAGATATAAATGTTGTTAATATTATTTTCGAGCGTAACCATGAGAAAATGTGACCGACACCAATCGCATGACGACACTTAGATAGGGACGGATGGAGTAATTCATAACCGTGCTGCGCTAGGTGTCCCATTACATGCATGTCGGCCAGCCAGCCTGTTACGATCGGGAACATAAATGCATGCATATGGACAAATGGTGACGCTGATACATCACCGTACCTGCTGCCTAGCTGCCCTGCCTTTAGACTCAATGTAGTTCGGCCTTCCGAGTTCATTGCAAGCCTCAACTGTCTCGCTACACCACACCCCCCAAAAGTTTTTTTTTTTTTAGGAAACCACACACCCTCCAAAAGTAACACTAGGGGCTGGAGTTTCACTCCACACAGATGCGCAGATCCATAGAGAGAGTACTGTGAGCGAGGAGCAGAGATGGACGCCCAGGGCGCCCTCGACTCGCTGCTCGGCCGCCTCACCGCCGTCCTTGTCAACGAGGCACAGCTGCTCGGTCGCGTCCGCGGCGACGTGGAGTTCATCAAGGACGAGATGGAGTGCATGAACAGCTTGATCATGCAGCTCACCGAGGCCCAATACCGCGACCACCTGGTCCGGCCGTGGATGAAGCAGGTCGTCGGCCTCACTCGAGACTGCGAGGGCAACGTCGAGCACTACATCCACTACGTCGGCAGCAGGCCTGCTGACGACGGACACCTCCGCCGGGCGTTGCGGTTTCTGCGGACAATACGGGCGCGCCACCACATCGCGTCGCGGATCCGTGAGCTTAAGATACGCGCACGAGACGTCGGTGACAGGCGGCACAGGTACGGAGTCACTGTGCCAGCCACGGGCACGGCCGGCATGAATGATGTCGATGCTGAGCCTGCGAGGGAGGAGGAAGATCTCCGGCGACGCGCTGTTCTACTTCGGGGCACGGAACCTCCAGCGGATGATGACGATGTGGTAAGAAGAGGAATCCGTACTCTCATCGAGTGCTTGTCCATGGAACCAGAAACAACAGAACAAGGTGCGCCCCTGCCACAAGTGAGGGTCTTCAGTATTTTAGGCTATGTACCACAACAAGCAGCATTCGTCTGTGGCCACCTTATTCGGTTGCAAGGCCTGGTCCGACGGAGGAGATGTAGGAACGGTACTTACCGAGATACTGGAACAAGTAGGAGGTGTTCAACTTCAACCTGTCCAAGAAGAAGACGAGGTAACAAACCAAGCAGCAGCGACGACGGTCGACGATGATTGGGAGAAGCAACTCGTCAGTAAAATTCAGGGGCATCTTAAGGGTTAGCGCTTCATGATAGTAGTTACTACTCATGAACTTGCACAGTCGGAATGGAAGCGCATACTAGATGCTCTGTTACACGTTGGGACTACGAACTGGCCATTTCGTCTACTCATGAACTTGCACAGTCGGAATGGAAGCGCATACTAGATGCTCTGTTACACGTTGAATGCAGAGTCCGGTCATATCATTTGGAGGTTAGCTAAGTGCAGTGCCTTTGCAAGGAAGATGTTGATGCATCTTCTGTATGTTAATCCTACCATGACACCAGACAACGCCATTTCCATGTGTATGGGGATGAACAAAAGTGTTGACCAAACAATGGCAATACTCTGCTACAATGAGTTGCCTACCAAGTACAGGAGCTGCTTGCTGCATCTCACTATTTTCCCCCAAGGCCACGTCATCAAGACTGCAAGATTGGCAAGAAGATGGATTGCAGAGGGCCTCATTACTACAAGTGACGAAACAGAGAGTGAAGCTGATAAAGTTGGGCACTACTGGGATGTGCTGTTCATTCGAGGGTTCATTTCTCCAGTGGAAATCAGTGCAGAAGGCAACATGAAGAGCTTCACATTAAAAGATGAAGTCCACAAGGTCATCGCCAAGATTGCTAGAGAAGTAAACATTGTTGACACCAACCTACCAATAGATTTTGCTCACCACCTATCCATTCACAACAGAATATTGTTGCCAAAATCTCATTCAGGTGGTGAAAGCGAAGACATTGCTGCTTCTCTTCCCTCTTTGGCTGCATCTCCTCAATGGATACTGTTGAAAGTACTGGACCTAGAAGGCTGCCATGGGTTGGAAAAGCATCATCTGAAGAGCCTCTGTAAGATATTGCTGCTCAAGTATTTGAGTCTCAGGAACACTGATGTTACAGAACTACCCAAGCAAATCAAGGAGCTCCAGTGCCTGGACACTTTGGACGTCCGACAAACCAAGGTACGGGTGCTTGCCACAAAAGCTATTGTGCTACCAATTATGAAGCATTTCCTTGCGGGTCACAAGGTCTCTGCAGCCAATGATTCTACGACATCTGAATATTCATTCTGTGCAGTACAAATGCCCCTTTGTATTGAGAAAATGAATAACATGGAGATATTGTCCCATGTCCGAGTTTTTAACAGCAAGGAGCTAGCCAGCATCGCTCAGCTACTGAAACTGAGGAAACTTGGTGTAGCTCTTCATGGTAAACACGTCAAGCTGAGTGATCTATTTTGTCAGACTAAGAAATTGCATAGATGCCTTCGTTCCTTGTCAATCCGTATTGACCCACAGGGTCATAGCGAAATCCAGTATCTGGAGATGGTAGATCCAATTGACCCACAGGGTCATAGCGAAATCCAGGATCTGGAGATGGTAGATCCTTTGCACTCCACTCCAGAGTTCATTGAAAGGCTGAACATCAGTGGCATCCCCGGTGGGATTCGTCACTTGATTGAAGAGCACCATAAGCTTACCAAGATAACACTGTCTGAGGCTCAGTTGAAGGAAGATGATCTAGCCATTCTTGGCAAACTTAGTGCCCTGCACAGCCTCAGGCTTCAGCATAACTCCTACACTGAAAGTGAGATCGTATTCAGGGGAGAAGAATTCCAAAGCCTCAACTATCTGCTTGTCGAGGTCAAAGATATCACCAAAATAAGCTTTTCCTCTGGTGCGGCTCCTAAACTAGAGAGGATTGTTTGGTCTTTTGCCAGAACGGATGTTCTTTCTGGACTGAACCACCTGAGAAAGCTGAAGAATCTGGAGCTCAATGGCGACTGTGACCTGCATCCCATTGAAGAAGAGCTTTTCTGGCATCCTAATGATCCAACACTAAAGCACAAACCACACCACCAAGGCCAAGAGGACAGAAGTGCATTACCTACAAGTCTACAACATCCTGATCGGCTCCATGAGTACTCCCTGCTACTCTCCACGACTGGAAGCTTGTTTCGGTGTTTCTGGATCAATTCATCTTTGAATAATAGATGCGGCTGAGTGGACGACTACTCGCCTTCTCCTATCAGCCTCATGCATCACAGAGTTTGAATTTTTCCTTCATGTGTCAGTTTGTTTTCCATTTCTGCATGTATGTCGTTGTGTGTTGTCTTGATTAATTCCCTGTGCTTTCTGGATTCAGAATTTGCTTATATGTGTGCATGCACCTGTCTGTGTGTGGAACAACCTGAGCTGCCATAGCTGCAGTATAGGGCCTCTGTGGTCTCTGCAGTATCACGGAATGTACTCGGTGTATTGGACTTGTTTGATTGTTATAAGTGTGGTAAAGATTGTGAGCTACTACAAAGTACACTTGTTTCCTCTTTACTGCAGACCGGATTTTAATTTTGCTGTCTTTGTTTACAACTCCCCTCTGTTCTGTGTAAGCTTTTGGAATAAGATTTTTTTCAACAATAGCTCAAAAGTACCTGATGTTCCCTATAACTTAATTAAAACAAACTTTCCAGTGAAGCTCCTACTCTAATTTTGTCATACTGATGCTAAATATGTCCGTGTGCCATGACGGGTGAAAGCAAATTAAATGTGCTGCAAAGAAACAAAACAAAAAGAGGGTAATAAGAATGAATGAAAGAAAAAAAAAAGAAATGGAAGACCACGTCGATTAGGTTGGAAAATGGAAATATGTAATACCATACCTGCTCTTGGACTGTGTTGACTATGTGGTTCAGAAAAGGGGAAACTGCATTGATGCTCCTATGGACTGCGACAAAATCGGGCAATGGATATACATCTAATTCTACTACAGTAGGAAAGATGGAGGTAATCGGTGGAGTTCGATTCGCGTACGAGTAAACGAGGGCAACGGCGATGCTAGTGATTACTGTAACAATCCAGAAATCCACACACTAAAAATCACAACTACAAAATTTTTTCTTAAAACTCCCATGTGATGATGAGTGACATTGTTGGAGCCAACCCTAAGAGTTGCATTAGAAGTAACCCAACCTAAGTCAACACATAAGCATGGCATATCATTTGTTGATTATGATTATTAAATTTCCAACAAATAACATGTTGCATACATTGTTAATTCAAGTTGTGAATTGGATTTCCATTTGCTTTATGTTATGACTAACAATTCCATTAAAATAATAAATCATAAAGTTATTATTAAACAAAATTCTCTAAACTCCAATGAATAATTTACCTCAGTTTCGAATTCAAATTCTAAACCAAATTTGAAATTCAAACAATGGAAAAGAAATATAAAACAGAAAAAGAAAAAGGAAGAAGAAGGCCTCGCAGACTCGACCTGCTCGGCCCGCGCCGGCCAGCCAACCCTAAGCCACAAGACGCTGCCCAAACAAGCCGGCCCGATGGGCCGCTCACGCCACAAGACCACCCGTCGGCCCGCCCATAGATCGCTGCTCTCCCAGCGCTTATCGGGCCGCCCGCTTGCAGCCGCCAATGGATCCCTTTGTCGGCGCTCATGTGCATCTTCTCCACGCCCACGCCGAATCCCTCCTCCGACAGAACGCCGACAACGGTGACAGTGCGGGCCAGGGGGTCATGCCCGGGGCATGGACCTGTCTCCCCCTTGGCGCCGCGCCCACACAACCCCTCCTGGCCGTAGGATGCAAGCAAGCGCCGCGATTGCCCTTGATCCCTGTCCGCCAATCACCGAGCTCCATGGCCGAGCTCGGCTATAAAGGCCACGGTCCTCGGAGCCCTAGCGCTCGTCCCGTTGCCCGCCGCCACCTCGGTGGCCATCCACTACGCACCCAAACCTAGAGAGAAGAGGGAGAAGAGGAAGAAGGGGGAAAAGAATGCCGAAGCCGCTGTAGGGGAGGAGATCGCCGGAGCCGGGAGTGACGCCATCGTCTACATCACCGACGCGGGTCGGCACGGCACTGCACGGCTTCCGGAGCTACACGGCCGCAACTCGTCATGGCACCACTATCCTATCGTCTACGACACCTACGGTGAGCCTCTCGCTGCTGAGACCCCTCCTAGCCCCATGGACGACGTAGCCGAGCACACGCACGCCACGCTCACGACGCCGCCGCCATGGCGCACCAGACCACCTTCGAGCATTAGACCACCGTGCCGAGCACCAGACCACCGGTCCGAGCACGTGACCACCGGTCCGAGCACCAGACCACCGTGCCGAGCACCAGACCACCGGTTCGAGCGCCCGACCACCGGTCAGAGCACCGACCACCGTGGCCAGTACTGCTGGGAGCGCCTGGCGCCTCCCGCCATGGCGCACCAGACCACCTTCGAGCATTAGACCACCGTGCCGAGCACCAGACCACCGGTTCGAGCGCCCGACCACCGGTCAGAGCACCGACCACCGTGGCCAGTACTGCTGGGAGCGCCTGGCGCCTCCTTGACTCGCCCATCCCGTTCGCTGAAGCCGCGGGTAACTCACGCGCACGCCGTGACCACCCCGCTGGAGTCCCGTGGTTCACCCGCGTGCCTCACCGTCGTCACTACGTCACCGTGGCCGCCGGGACATCCCTACCGGCCACAGGAGAACCGAGCCATGCCTTGAGTCTGGATGACCTCGCCGCATTCCCACGAATCCGTAGAAGCGTGCACGCCCCGCTGACACGTTTTACCATAACCGTAGACACCTCACTGATCCCGCCGTCGAGCTCGGAAGGGCGCTGCCGTGGCCAAAGCCACCGGAGGCCCTGGAGGACCCCTCGACATGCCCAACATGCCCGCTGGAGCGTTGTGTCGCCCACGCGCACCACAGAACCGGCCTATGCCGTGGCCCCGCGCCATTCCCGCACGCCGGTGGAGCTTGAGCCACCGCTCGCCGTGGCCAGCACCTTGGGGAAGCTCTGGCCGCCACTTTGACCCCACTGACACAGTCGCCGTGGCCCAGGGAAGCTTTTCCCCTCCCCAATCGTACACCAGCGCCACCGCGGGGGCTCGCCGTGAGCTCGTCGCCGGCAGGAGCACCGCCGCGGTAAGAAACAGGGGAACACCTCCCCTCGCCAGCCACATGCCCATACACCCGGTGCACGTGGACCACAGAGAGAGAGGAGATGGATGGACTTAGTTCACCATGGACCCTGCCTTAGGTCCATGGACCATGAACTTGCGTCCACCGTAGACCACGCCTGTGGACCACAGCCTAGTAAGGGCCCATGGCCGTGACGTGGCTGTGCCACAGCCTGCCACGTGTCTGGCTCGGCCCGGCCCAGACCGGCCCTACCCGAAGCCCAACCAGCCCGATTGAGACCCAGCCCATATTGACCGTTGACCGGTCAATGTTGACCGTTGACCTGGCCCCACATGTTAGTGGCACAAACACTCCGGGCCCACACGTCAGATGGTGACGTCATGCTGACATCACGCGGGACCCACATGTCAGAAGCCAGCACAGCCGAGGTGACGTCACGCTGACATCAAATGATGACGTCAGCAGCCCTGGCCCCACACGTCAGTGACCCTAACCGTTGACCGAAGACCATTGACTGTTGACTCTCTGTTGACTTTGACCGGACCCACCTGTCAGTGACTCAATAGCCTCTGGCCCCACCTGTCGGTGAGCATGACGATGATGATGTTAGCTAGACCCCACCTGTCAGCTCGGAACCATGATGCTGACATCATGCTGATGTCATGCTGACATCAGCAAGCCACGTAGACCAACCCCAGCATGACACGTGTCAGTCCAGGATTAACTCAGCCTTTTTCCATTTTCAGAAATAGATTTAATCTTCGGAAATTCGTAACTAATTCATACGACCTCAGAAAAATACGAAACAAGGACTAAAATTCATCTAAAATCAAGCTCTACGCAATGAACCCATGTTTGAGTGCATTTGGCTCTTTTGAATTTTCATTGCTTCTTTGTGCTATTCCATAGACGTCGCGAACGCGACTATAATGCGATCGTTTGCAGACTCAGAGGAGAACCGGACGGACGAGGACCGTGAGTACCGTGAGGAGTACGGAGACGACTACACTGAAGGTGCCACATCCCACCCAATCTCGTAGCACCTATTACGCATGGCTAAAGTAGAAATGCTAGTGCCTACTTTATTATCATATCACACTATGGTAGGACTTGCATGGTAGTATGCTTTCTTGATGGCCTTTACCTTGACACAACCTTACCCCTGCTCACCCTGCTGATAGGCTAGTCACACGCTTGCTATTATATTTCATTGCTTATTACTTCTACTATGCTTACACTACATTGATGCGTGGTGGGGCGGTGATTGGGGAGAGTCTTTGCGTGTGTGACTTGGGTGCGTGGAGGGTGAGGGTTGTGTCGACCAAGTTGGAGTATCTGACGAGCACTGGGCAAGTCTTGCCGTGGGGTGCTACCTGGGCACCCCTAGAATGGATACCTGTGGTGGGTAAAAGGTATATGAGGTGGCCTTGGGTGTGATCTTGTGATGGGAGGAGACCAGGGTGGAGGTGTTGTGGTGGCACGGTAAATGGAAACCCTGATGAAGACATTCTGGCTTGGTCATCCCTAAGGACTTACTAGTACTCAGACTCACTAGGAAGCCTTACGCACCACTCGCCCTATATGGTGCGGGACGGTAGGACTACTTGGTAGGATATTGCCACTACTGCTAGGTTGTTAGCGGATAGTGTAAGGAGGTACGGGGTGCGGAGGATTTCCCCCACACCCTTCCGAGACTTCATGGAGACCTTGTGGACCCGGCTCATGACTCACAGTTTCAGCCACCCCAGAGCAGACTTGGGGTGTACTGTAGGCTGAATGGTAGAGTGGTATTATCCTAGGCTAGCAAGCGGCGGAATCAGCCCGATTGGCGACGGTCGTGAGGAAGGCGGATCTTGTGGTTATGTAAAACCTCTGAGTGTATGGTTGATCGATCGATACATATGCCGACTTGTCGGCTATGGACCTTTCTGGATTTCGCTTAAACTAGATAGAGAGAGAGTCCTTCTTTTCTCCCCGGGAGTGAGTGTTCGGACGTAGCTGGGGCTACGGGCCTGAGACACGATGCTTAGAGGGAGTTGGCCTATTGACTGAGCGATGGTTCGGG